TACTGAACACCATTTTCAACATATGGAATTGACAAATACATAATGTGTGGTGCCCTGTTTTCACAGATGAGGTGAAGTGGCTCTTGCAGATGGTAAATTAATAAGTGTTTAAAAAGACTCAAGAAGGGTCTCCCTGGTGGCACAAGGGGTTAAGTCTCAGCACTATGCAGTTATCCACAGCCACTGCAGCTCGAGTTCGAGCCCAGGGCAGGGAGATACCCACATGGCACAGCAGACCTCTCCTGTCTCACCCGCTGCTCCCCTCAGCAGTGTATTTCAGTCAATCTGCCTGTTCTGCTCCCCACTCTCTCTGGTGAATCCTCTCACCACTCCCCAACTTCTGGCCTGCACCCCAACTCTTGCATGCATAAATAATTATCTTTAAAAAAAAAAAAAAAGGAGTCTAGAAGCAGCTGGAAAGTAGCCATAAAAGCTTTAAAAACATCCACATGCTGTGATCCCGTCATTCTGCTGCAACAATTCATTCTAAGCCTTCAGTAGAATCTCACAACAGGTGTCCTGACAGGCTGCTCCAGCCCTGGGCCAAGAGGCCCAGCTCCACCTGCCTGAGGCCTCAAGGAGAGGCAGCTCATGCTTTCCCGGACAGAATCCAAAGTAGGGGCCGGGTGGGGCAGCAGCCTCGGGGCCCCTCGTGGCTCTGCCCAATACCTGTCACCCCCATCGCCACATAAACACTGGCTGCTCCTCCTGCCCCCAGAGGCCCAGGCCCCCAGGATCCCGTCTGGGCTCCAGCCAGATAGAGAGAGGACAGAGGGCAGCGTGGCCGGGCCTGTGGCTCTGTGGGAGCAGCCCCAGAAGTGTCCAAAGCACATTCCAGCTGATTCTCTGTCCTCCCTGGGGCCTCCAGCTCCAGCCAGTGTGTCCATGTCACTTAGGTCAGATGCCCCTGTCCACGGACACTGTCCCTCCTCACTGACCAGTGCTGCCCTCTGGCTCCCCAAGCAGGAGTTGGGGCGCTGTCCCTGACCAGCCTGAGGCAGGCTCCCCGTATCCATGGGGCTCTCTCATAGGAAGGCTCCACGGGGGGCTGTTCACTTACGGTCCTCTGGGCTGCCAGGGCAGGGCGTGACTTTCACAGACCTGGAAAGAGGCTCACAGCATAAGACCAAGTTTGACAGAGGACAGTAAAACCACAAAATTTTATGTGCTTTGTTTAAATATATTGATTTTACATATGTATGTAAACTCTACATGTGAAATAACGAAGTAGCTTTTCTTACTCATTTTAATTCTTTCTGTATGAAGTCATCTAGATAGGTACCCTAAAAAGTTGTTTTATAAAGGGAAAAGTAGGATTTCTTTATATTTATTGTAAGAGAACCTGACTTATCTATTTTCCGTAAAATTTTTTTTTTTGAGGTAACTTACTACACTGCATGTGAGTCGGGAATTCAGAGTCACACTTCTCCACGAGAATGTGACGTACTAAAATGTTTATTATCGTTGACCTCTAAGAGTTGTTATTTCAAGTAAGGGAGGTATTGATTGAGGGCAATTTATAGCTCACTACAGCTTTCCTGAATCATGAAACATCTGTACGAAGTATTTTTTTTTTTCATAATTGAAGTATTTTATTTTATGTACAGAGAGCTAGTTTCTGCTTTACGGTAGATTTCTCCACAGCCAATTCAAGGAAGATCATTTAGTCCAACTTAACGAAGCCTATGTCCTTGGCGTACTGACAGAAACACCGGCCGCACAGGTTGAGCCCATATATCCGGATCAGGCCCTGTCGGTTTGAGCAGACTCGGCAAGAGCGAGAACCCTGGCCGAATTTTCTCGGGTGACTCCAGTAGAGCTGCTGGTGACCCATCTTGCTTTCTCGGAGGCAACGAGGCAAAAAAGTGTACTAAGTATTATTTTAATGAGAGAAAAAATTCGTTAAGGAATACCTATATACTCTAAAGAAGATTAACCTATGTTTACCCTTTCTATTTCATTTTCGTTCCAGAAGAAAGGCTTGTGTTTTTGATCAGTTTTTGTGACTTCTCTTTTAAAGGGTAATATTCTTGATTTCATCTTCGTTTTGCTTTTTTTTTTAAAGATTTATTTATGCATACAAGAGCTGGGGTTCAGGCCAGAGATGCGGGGGGTGAGAGGATTCACCAGAGACAGAGTGGGGAACAGAACATGCAGACTGACTGAAACACACTGCTGAGGGGAGCAGTGGGCGAGTCAGGAGAGGTCTGCTGCGCCATGTGGGTTTCTCCCTCGCTGGCCGGGGATCGAACTCGTGCTGCAGAGGCTGCGGATTGCTTCACAGTGCAGTGCTTAACCCCTTTTTGCCACTGGGGAGGCCCCTCATTTCGTTTTGATTTTTTTTTTTAATTTAATTTTTGAGTTCACAATTTAATCTGAGTCTCTTCCAGCTGAGGAAAAATTGACTGATTGTCACACATCATCATCTTTCACAGGCCCCTCCTCTGCTCTGGCACCTTCCTCTCTGCTGTGACTTCACCCTCCCTCAGCTGGCAGCTCCCTCCCACCCCCACTGAATCTCCCCTGGGGCTGTTCATCTCCATATCCCTGAGGTCCACCCTCCTCTGAGGGCTGCACTGGGGGCTCTGTGGATGACACAGGCTGGAAGCAACACCAGGACAGGGAGATGCAGAGGGAGCAGAAGGGACAGGCCCACGCTTCCTGCCTGCCCAGGGGCGCCAGTCTCCCCAAAACTTCACATGTCCCACCCCAGGAGCTCCTCCTGGGGTCACTGTCCTGAGTCCGGGAGCCACCTGCTCACTCTGACCTGCTTCTCCGAGGCCTTGGGAGAAGATTCAGTCCTCCCACGGGGCACGGGGTCTCTCACCACTTGATATCACTACCCACTTGATATCACTGTGCCGCGGACCAGCACAGCAGTGGACGATGAGGCCGTCTCAGGGTTGAGAGATTGCGCGGGGTGGTCAGGGATTCGGCGAATAAATGACACACAGAAACACTTCAAGAGAGTGAAAATCTGAGTGTAACTTTATTTGAGTCAGTGGTCAGTATATATATGTTTTTCTAAAGGCATAGGATCGGTTATCAGTGAATTAAGCCAGCTGGCTCATAGGTTTAGCTTATCATTGACGGGGCAGTGATCTATGTCCGAAGTTCCATCTGGACCTAGTCATTTTCTTAAGTAGTCAGGCTAATACTTTTTCTTTTGTTCTATGTAATTTTTTTTTTGTTTTAATAACTACTCACTACCACTAACTTATTTATTAATTAGCATGGGTGAATATACTTTTCACAAAGTGATATTTTTTCATTGAGATCAAAGCTAACAGGGCCTCCCCGGTGGCGCAGCGGTTGAGCGCAGGGTTGCGAAGCTGCCCACGGCCTCTGCGGCGCCGGTTCGATCCCCGGCTGCTCCCCGGCCACCCGGAGGAGGGTCCCACATGGCGCGCAGACCTCTCCTGCCGCCCGCTGCTCCCCTCAGCAGTGTACTTCGGTCCTTCTGCCTGCTCTGCTCCCCGCTCTGGCTCTGGTGAATTCTCTCACCCTCCCGCGCTTCTGACTGTACCCAGTGCATGTATAAACAAACAAACAAAACAAAAACAAAATAAATAATAAATAAATAAATAAATAAACATGCCTCTATAAAAAAAAAAAATCAAAGCTAACAAAGCCAAGGACACAACAGAGAAATCATAAAACTAACAATTCCATTATTACACAGAGTTTAGTAATGTTTCATTTGAGTTAGTCCAGTTATTAAATTACGTATGTTTTTTAATTAGCAATCAATGACCAGAAAAAGGAAAGATTTTGGAAAGACAGTTGTAAGCAGAATAAAGTTTGTGGGCCTTGAGAAAGTGAGATAAGGTTCCGTGTGTTCGGCATTCCTTTTTACTTTCTTTGTGGTGGCTTCTGGTGGTCGTTATCTCTTAACAGGCATCCGGCCTATCTAAGCTTTAGGGAGTTTGCTGTTCTCCCCCTGCACGCGTGGTTCCTTGCCCGCGCCGGACCTCAGGGACCATGGCAACAGCCATTAGCCCTGAAGGTCACTGCAGGGGGAGGTGCAGCAACTTTGGGGGATCATATTGTGACGTTCTTACTTAATGTTGTCTCCCTCTCTGATTGAGGGCAGGGGTGCTCTGTGCTTGTGGGTGCCCGGGATCTAGAAGGGCCTGACCTGGGGAGAGAGGGTCCTGCCCTGTTTTCCCCGGGCCTGGGGTGACCCTGCTAAGAGCCAGGCCTGCACAGGTTTCGTGGCCCCGTATCCTCCTAAATCACATACGGTGTTGTGGATGGTTGTGCTGGGAAGCTGAGGTCCCTGGGCCCTCAGGAGCCTTCCAGGAACATCCCTGCTCCTGGCCTTCCTGTTCTCTTGGCCTTTCTGTGTCCTCAATGGGTCATTTGTGGTGTAGTATCAAACCATCATTGATAAGAAACCTTATGAAATGTCTAATTCCAGAAATTGTGAATTATCACAGATAAAGGCAATCCAGTTGCACCCAAGGTGATCCTTTCCCCACCTCATTTGCTCTGAAGCTGATTAGCTGTGCTGATTCTGAGGCCCATCCCAGATGGAATCATACATTTCCCTTGCCTCAGGGAATTTTCCTGAGCAGAAAATAGCAACAACCTGAAGTCCTTGGCTCTGGGGTCTATGTTGAAACTGAGTCCCGAATGCATAGTTCTGGGTGACCCAGAATCCCTGGGTGAGGTTCCCTTGAAAACAGACCTTCAGTGAGCACCTGCTGCCTCCTAGGTGCAACCTCTCCCACCCAGTACAAGTCTCGAACCAGGAGTTGCCAAGGCTGAACAGCACACCAGGGGGCCAGGCAGCTGGCACTGTGTTTTCCTAGGGGCTGGGGTTTCCCTGGCCAAGAGCCAGGGCAGGACAGTTTTGGTGGCCCCTTATCACCCCAGACCCCTGGTTTACAACAGAGAGGATGACCCTCAGGCCAGGGAAGGCCCAGAGGGCCTGGGCTCCCAAGGAACTTAAAAGGGGTCCAGAGCAGGCAGCCCCACACCTCCCTGACAACAGCACCATGGCCTACCTCTGGGTTTTCTCCTGCTTCGCCGTCATCGGGGCCTCCTTTGGTGAGTTTCGGATGCTGGAGCCAGCAGGCCTGAGGCTGGGGAGGGATCTCAGAGCACCAGTGTCTCCCAGCCTGACTTACTTCGAAGGGATTGGTGATGTCTGTTTGGGGTCTAAGTTTCCTGGACAACAAGGCACCCTAAGCCCCCTTAGCTGTGTCCTGGACCTCAAGCCCAGACACATAACCTGAAATTCCAGGGAGATACAGGGTCTTTCCAGGGGTTTCTGTGCCTTTACACCTCGAGCAGGCGCAGAAAGAACCTAGGCGGTGACCAAGGTCTGAGGCCTCAAGAAACTTGTCTGTGCTCAATCAGACAATCCAAGGGCCTTGTTTTCTTTTTCTTCAATACATCTTTTTATGATAGGGAATCAAATCTCACTTCATTAAATCATTAAGAAAATAAAAACTTATGCAATGAGGAGTTTCTGGAATCTCCAGAATATAGAATCCGATAATGTAAAGGGGTCTGTGACCTAGTCTGGTGATGGTCAGAGGGTGAAGCCCTGTGGATTGAGGTTTCTCTCATGCAAATCTAACCTCTTTGCCTGTATCTCCTGGGCAAGCTCTGCTGTGAGGTGGGCAGTGTTTGCTCCCCACATCGTGGAGAAATGAGCCTGGGAGAGTCAGAGGGGCCTGAGATTCCCATCAGGGAAGCGGGGGGCAGGGAAGCCTGATTCCTCAGCCTGTTTCAGCTCCTCTGGGTAGGGTGACCCCGATGGAGCTGCCTGTCCCTCTGCATCCCTGCAGGGTGACTTGGGAACAGCAGGCTATGTTTGTGGGATCCTCTAACCCAAGATTGGGATATCTGGGAAGTTTCTGGAAATAGGGGAGTATGGAAGTGGGTGCTGTGATGTCTGAACTACAAACCAGATTTCTGCAGAATGACTGGGACCTCAGCCCTCTCTCCATACCTCCTCCAGGCTGTGGGGTCCCAGCCATTCGTCCAGCTGTGTATGGCATACAGAGGATCGTAAATGGAAAGGATGCTCGTCCTGGCTCCTGGCCCTGGCAGGTGTCTTTGCAGGTGAGGAGAGTCTGCACCTAAGCAGGGTCACACTGTGGTGCAGCCCAATTGGGGGGCAGCTGAAAGGTTGATATGGTGCTTCCTTGAGCGCTGACCACCCCTCTTCGTCCAGGACCACAGGGGCCTCCACTTCTGTGGGGGCTCCCTGATCAACGAGAACTGGGTGATCACTGCTGCTCACTGTGGTGTCAGGTGAGTCCTAGGGAGTGTCCAAGAGTGGGGGAGGGGAGAAGGCACATCATCCTTCCTCATCACACCTGCTTCCTCTAGCACATCCCACCTGGTAGTGGCTGGAGTGTTTGACAAGAGCTCAGCTATGGAGAATGTCCAGGTCCTGAGGATTGCTCAGGTACGCCAAGCTGAGGGGTTGGGGCTATAGCTGCTGGGGGCAGGAGCAGTGGGGAGAAGGCCCTTCGGCTGCAGAGACAGGAGGCAGCAGATGGGCCTCAGATGGGCCTCAGAGTCTCCCTTGGGCTCCCCTGGTCTATGTCCTCAGATTATTCACCAGGAAGACAATTGTCTCCTAAAACCTGCAGATCCCTGATGGATCCCAGGCCTCACCTCCTCCTCCTGGCCTCACCCACAGGTTTTCAGTCACCCCTGGTTCAACAGACGCAGCATGAACAACGATATCGCCCTGCTGAAGCTGGCCACGCCCGCCCGCTTCTCTGAGATCGTGTCCCCTGTGTGCCTGCCCAGTGCTCAGGATACCTTCCCTGTGGGGTCCCTGTGTGTCACCACAGGCTGGGGCATTACCTATCCCAACAGTGAGTGACCTTGGCCTTGTCACCCAGGAGATGGGTCTGGGGTCAGGCTGCCTGAGTAGGTAGGATGCAGAAGGCTCTGCTTTTTAAATTTTTGGAAATTCAAACTGTCATAAATCTGACCATCTCTCTATTATGCCCTCTTATATAAAAACCTGCCATCTGAATTGAAAAGAAGACTATTGATGTCCTTGAATGGTCAGGTTCTGAGACACAGGCCCTGCACTACTCACTCAAATGTATCCCATCCATGGCACCCCCACCTGTTCACTGCTCAGACCTGAGTGGACAGGGGTGTGGCCATTGTGCAGACCTGCCTGGGGATCAGGCATCCAGGGTAGCTTCAGGCCCTAGAGTTCAGCCCAGTGTCCCCGCCCAGGGCTGGCTCTGCCTGACAATCTCTTCCTACTCAGTTCTCCTGCCCAGGCCAGGGCTACCCAGCTGGACCTTCCACTGGACAGCAGCCGCCAGGAAGGGGCAGCAGGAAGGAGCTCCCTGTCACAAGGAGTCTGCAGTCAGAGGGATGTCAGCCCCTTCCCTGGGGGAAAAAGTTGCCCCTGAGCCCCCCACTTGTGGTCTGGCAGGGCCCAGACTGGGCAGGCAGGACTTGTGTCACCAACTGTGCATGCAGCAAAGTCAGCCTGGCCTGGGCTGGAATCACTGTGTCCACTGAGGCTTCTAAGCTATAAGGGGGTGCAGGACTCAGGTGCTTGTGTAGGAAGACAGAGACCACTGTCAGTCCTGTCCCCCCAAGGATGGGCTAGAAGGATGAAGGTCCTGACTCCCTTCTGACTCTTATGTCCCTCCAGTGTACCAGGGCCCTAACAAGCTGCAGCAGGCCACCCTGCCCCTCCTGTCCACTGCCCAGTGCAGGTACTACTGGGGCAGCATGGTCACCAACCTCATGGTCTGTGCCGGGGCCAGTGGCATCTCCTCCTGCAAGGTACGGCTTCTCTCCTGCAGCCCCTCATTGATGCTTCGGTCAGCGGTCAGGGTGGAGGCCCCTCCTTGCCCTGAGCCCCTTCCCCTCACACTTGCCTAGAACCCGGGGAGCCAGGACTAGCACTTACACATGCCCAGTATATGACTGGCTCTGGCCGTGCATGGGGTGCTGTCCATGGGGAGTTATTCTCACACCCTCCCCAGGAGCTAGATTTTTCAGCCCATTTACATTCCACATCCCCAGGTCCTGGAGCAGCTGCAAAATTCGGTTGTTCCTTTAGTTAGAAGTTTCTAGGTATTGTTGTATACACATTTTACTTCTTGGTAATACCTGTCTGAGCCAGGCGGGAGTGCACAAGGATCCCGGCACCCCTTTCAGACTTACAGACAGGTGCTTCTCCTCCCACAGGGCGACTCTGGCGGGCCCCTGGTCTGCCAGAAGAATGGAGCCTGGAACCTGGTGGGAGTCGTGTCCTTTGGCAGCAGCACCTGCTCCACCTACATGCCTGGCAGTTACAGCCGCGTCACCAAGCACATGCCCTGGATTCAGGAGATCCTGGCTAAAAACTAAGTCCTGTTTCCTCCCATCCCAACCTCTAGTGTCCCCAATAAAGCCTCTGTACAGAAGCCCTGACTGCTTGTGTGTCTGTGACCTGAGGGAGGTGGCTGCAGTGTCCCTGTCACCATCAAGGGGTGGCATGACCCTCCCTTTCCAGGCTGCAGAGCCCCAGCAGCCCCTGTTTCTCAGGGAGCTGAGGCCTTTGGGTCTGGTCCTCCCTGCTCAGGAGGCCCCGGGAGTAGAGTCCAGGACCACCTGCTGCAGCTCATTTCTCAGCCTGGTTTCTGCGCCTTTGGCAGCTGGGTTGTCCCAAGGAGCTTTGTGGGGGGCAGGAGTGCTCCAGGCCAGGCCATGCAGTCCTCCGCCCAGCAGGGTGGGCCCTGGGACCAAGAGGGCCACCCAGGCAGGCTTGTCCCTCCCCACATGCTCCAGCACCTTTCTCTGCCTTGAGCCCCCTGCACACCCCACCCCAGACCATCCATGCAGTCCCCACCCTTCCCGCCTCCCACCCAGGTCTGCACACTCTGAACTTTCTAGCCCCACATACCAAGTGCCCATCACTCTGCTCTGGGCTGTTTTCTCTGGGATTTGGCTGTTGAATCTGGAGGCTCCATTGACTCTGGCTCAGTCCCTTTAGGCTGCAGGTAGCACTGGGCCCCTGCACGGGAGGTGTCAGGACTCACAATTCTCCCTGACAAAGGTAACAATGTTGATGCCTGAGGCCTGGGCATCTGTTCTCTGAGCAATGGTGGGAACTTAACTTTAATGTTTTTCTGTGTGTTGCCTGGAATCCTTTCATGGAGATGACTCCACAGTCAACAGCCCAGTGGTCCCTGGGTATAGAACGTGCAGGGGAGAGGCTCAGCCTGTTTCCTTTACACGTTTCCTTTATTAATTGAAGAAAATGAACTTGTTCCCTGTCATCCTTCAAGGCACTGAATTAATTTTGTAGTTTTTTCTTGTTTTAAAAAAATTTTAAACTCCTGATCAAAACAAAGGACTCATCCTTATAGCATGATCCTTCGTGAAGCTGAACTCCGCCGGGTGACAGGTAGACACTGTCTATTTGGCTTTGGGACGTTTGACATGGCCACGTGGCTTCAGCATTTCCTTTCTATGTAGATTGACAAAATGTCATCCACAGAATCAGCTATTTCTCCAAAATCCCCTGGTTTGTTTCAGTAGAAATGGAATTTCAAGACTACTTTGGGTGTCGGGGACACTCATAAATGGTATATTGGTTGTTTCTAGACCTTTCCAGTGGACACAGCCTAGAACTATTTAAAGATAAATTTAAGGGCCTCCCCTGGTGGCGCAGCAGTTGAGCGCTGGGTTGCGAAGCTGCCCACAGCCTCTGCAGTGCCAGTTCGATCCCCGGCTGCTCCCTGGACACCGGAGGAGGGTCCCACATGGCGCGCAGACCTCTCCTGCCGCCCGCTGCTCCCCTCAGCAGTGTACTTCGGTCCTTCTGCCTGCTCTGCTCCCCGCTCTGGCTCTGGTGAATTCTCTCACCCTCCCGCACTTCTGACTGTACCCAGTGCTTGTATAAATAAATAAATAAAATAAATAAATCTTTAAAAAAAAAAAAAATAAAGATAAATTTAAGATCACAAATCTCAAGAGTTCATAGTGATATTTCTACTTCTAATTCAAGCCTGTGGGTGTTAACTGTAAATAGGGAGTTTGCCAGGTTTTCCATCCTACACCAAGCATCCTCATCTTTAGACTTGAGGGAATGATTGTCCTAGAATATCCGATAATAATTTATTTGCTTTCTCCTTTATTATACAAAACAGTTGCAAGTTAATTCCAACATTATCGATGTCCATATTATTCATGAAAGCAAGTAAAATTATTTTCCTCTCCTCATTTTAAAATAGTTTTTTCTCCTCCACACAGCGCCCTGACATGTCTGTGCTCCCTCCTGCGTCTCGCTGGCTCAGGCCCTTGGGTGTCTGAGGTCAGACCCGTCCTCGTGTCTGTGTCTCTGTGGCCCGTGGGAGCCTGACGCTCCTCCTCTGTGCGTGTCTCAGGAAAGGCCACGGGGTATTGTCATGTTGACCACTCATAGCACTACTTTGAGAAAATATTGAAGATCTATTCTCAAATGCTTGTCAGGATCTTGCCGTGTTTGCTGTTTAGTTTTAGATTCTTAACCCTTGTCACATCTCTGATTTGCAAATATTTCTTTTGTTGTCTGTCTTAGCACTTCCTTGATAATATCAGTTCATGCCTAGAAGGTTTAAATGTTGCTGTGTCCGTGTTATTTTTAGTCACTTGTGCTTTGGTGTCGTAGCCAACTCTGACAGGAATCGCTTCCAAAGGGAGATCACGCTGGGTGGTAGTGAGCTCAGCCATATTAGGTCTTCCTGTCCGTGGAAATGGAAGTTTTCCATCCCTTTATTACTTACACTTTCATTTTTTTACATTAAATTATTTGCATTGGGTAACATGGTTAACAACACTGTCTATCTTTTAGGGCTGTAGCTTCATGCCGCCTCACTGGAATCTAACCACCTGTAGCAACAGGAAGGCCAGAGCGGGATCTCTATGACCCGAGCAGACGGAGTAAAGGAGAGAGAGAGCCCTGGAGTTCTCAGTAGCTTTTCAGGCTTTTATTGGGATTTACCAGGCTGGCAGGTCTCCCAGCCCCCAGCAAGTCTTCACTCTCTCTGGGCTCTCTGGCCTTCTCTCATGGCCTTTCTTCTCTCTTGTTCTCTTCCCATCTCTCTTTGTTCTGCTGGCGTCCCTGTGACACCGCCCTTATAAGCCCAGTCTCTCATCTGAGGTGTATCCACCTACGATGCCCACGCACCACTCCAGGTGCCGGCCATCAGGCGTGCATTCAGGACTGCAGGGATCCATCATCAATCCTACACCACCCCTCTTTTTCATCTTACCCTACACCACCCCTTCCTACTGCAAAGCCCCAATATTTCTCCACCCCCGTCCATTGCCCGAATTTCTTTATTCCCAAGCCACTGTCCTCTCTAGTATGCAAATGTGATCCCCTCCTCTCAAACATCTACTGTCCTTAATATTTTCACACCACAGTCATGTAAAACTTATGAAAGCAGACCTCAAATAGGGGACCCGTGTACCTCCCAAGGGGCCTGGCTGACCAGCCAGCAGAGGGCAGGACCAGGTAAGTGTCTGGGCCTGTAGGCCGCGGGCTGATGGGGACAGAACAGGACAATGAATGTGGGAGCATGGAGGACTCCGGAGCAGAGCCTGTGTGGCTTCTAGAAGCAGGGAGAACTGGTCTCCCCCTGACAGGGAGGAAGGCAGAGCCTGAGCGGGAATCACAGGAGGGGTGAGGAGCTCAGGTGTTCTCAGGTGATCAGGCCCTGTGTGAGGGCAGGAGCCCCGCAGAGGCTGGACTAGGCACCCTGAAGATGCCTCGTCCCCCAGGGCAGGAGGGATGCTGAGCAGGAGCAAGAGGCTCCTTTCCTGGACACTGGGGGTGGGAACAGCTGTGGGGGACAGTGTGCTGGGCCATGGAGAGGGCACCAGGTAGACACAGGTACCAGCAGGAGGGGCAGAGCCTCAAGAGTGAGACTTCATTCCTGGGGCCTAACAATCTTGGGCGCAATACAGGTGCCTCACAGAGACCCCAATCTGTGCCATGCCAGGAAATCCAGGCTATAAACCAGAAGTCTTGTCACCTCAATAAAAAACCAGGCATTCTGGGCACCCCAAATTAGAGTTGGGCCTCCTTGGCCTCCAGGTGAGTTCATGTGCCTGCTTTATTGCTACACGGGCCCCTCGTGTTCTCCCTCAGAAACTCATTCCCCTCGATGGGAGGCACCTGCTGACAGGGCCCTCTGCAAATTGATCATTGGCTTCTGGGGCAGGAGCTGGTCCCTCAGCACCCACAAAGCAGAGCACTTACCCCGGGCAGGGGTTCTCAAGCTGGGATCCTCAACCCCTGAAGAAACAGCCACTTCTTAGCAAGGTAAATTATCCTCCTCACCCCACACCTGACTCAGACACTAGGAAAGTGAGGCCCAGCGCTGTTTGAAAGCAGCTTCTGGGCAATTTTGAAGCAGCTCAGGTTAAGAGTCCATGAGCTGGAGTGAGAACACAGTGGCCTCTCAGGAGGAGGAGGCCCAGCCTCCCTGGGTGGATCGGCCCTGAGGGGGCCAAAGAGAGATGTGTCGTTTCACCTGTGGCCACCAGGGGATGGTGTTAACCCAAAAGCCTCTTTCAGGTCAGGGGCAGCCCAGGGGAGCCTCTGAGCCCTCTGGAAACTGCTGGCAGGCAGGACAAGGCTCACTGCCTTGGAACATGCTGGAAGACAGGGCAGTGGCAGTGGTTAGGCTTTAGGTTCAGGACAGCAGGTTACATCCTTTCTCCATCCCCAAACCTTCGGGCTTCCCAGCCACTCAAGGCTGGTTTGTCTTCTGAGGAAATTTCTGCTCCCTTCATTGATAGGTCCATCGATCCTCGCAGTATTTCTTGCTCTGTTTCTCACTTATTAATCCAGAACCTTAGGCCACTGATCCTTCCCTTGCCCATGAAAGCGTTTCTGTTTATCGATGTCCTTGCTGAGTTAGCAGCTTCCCGCACATGTTGACGGGAGGTGTTTTTAGGTCCTTAACTTCAACATCTTCATACTTTCCCAAGTGATTTCCTCTTTATCCATAGTTTATTTTGAGCTTAATTTACAAATATATCATGTTTTTCTATTTTCTTATCTGTGCCTGTCTTGGGCTACTCACCAGGATCCACCTTGAGCCCCCAGGAAAGCCTCTTAAGAGCCAGTATAGTTGGAAAGGACCTTGAAGGTTTTGTGAAAGGTTTTGTGAAGATTGTAAGTCACCACCATCAACAACATTCAGGAGACTAGAAATACAGCAATGTTTTTCCTCATAGGACCAGAGGAGACAGGGCAGGCCTGTGGGCACAAGTGATGTGGGGTGGGGTGTTCCACGGGAACCCCTAAAATTCTGCCTTCTTAATGTTGAGGGTGAGGTGGTAAAGTCATGGGATTCTTCCTTGTTGAATTTAAAACATAAGCTAGGAATAGAATAGCATTGCCCAAAGGAA